CATCGAACAGTGAATCCTTTTGTAACGATCCTTAAACTATTACCACTCGCGGTAGGTCTTGGAGTCTAATTTATTAGCTACAATGTAAATGATGATGGTATCCCAATGTTTAGTTCTCTCTCTCTCTCTTAATTTTTTGTTTAATTGGTCAATTATACGTTTTAAACTACTTGCAGACTCCTTACCTATTGTTTCTATATTGACTAAGGCAGATACATGATTTTTTACAAGTAACCGCTTGGTATCTAATCTTTCACTTAACGAACTCGAAGTAACCTGGTAATTTTTGGCACAAAATTCAATCGATTGGATGATCACAGCAGCTGCCTCGTAGGTTGTGAAATTTTTCAATGAGACTATAAATGATGAGACTATAAAAGGTATCGTGGAATTCTAACCAAAATTCGTATGCTTCATTAAATTTTGGTAATTGAATGGATAGATGTATTTACCCCATCAATTTTATCACTATTTTTACTGTTACGCGACAATATATATTGTGCTTTAGATAATAATTGATGATAAGTAGATTCAAATTCATTACGCTCATTCATCTGGCTGTCTATATCGCCTACTAGGTCTATTCTATGTTAATTTGCACTCCATCAATCAATTTTCTTAATACGTAATTTAAGCTCACATACCTCAGATAGGGTCAACGTTTCCTCCAAACCACTCAAATAAGAAGAAAACATTGTTAAGCGACCTTTATAGCTACCGCGTTTTCTAATAAGTTCCTTTAATTCATCCTTTTCAGTCATCTTTGAGAGCCTGGAATTCAACCTGTCATTTGTATAATAAAATATCAAACAACAGTTAACAACTATTATGTAATTTTAGCTTGTCGAAAATGACCTTTAGGCCAAAAATATTGTACTAGGTATTAATTACTGTTCATTTTAGTTACAAACTTTTTGTAAACAATGATTTTAGATAAACAATATTGTATCTATATTTATTAAAGAGATAAATAACAAAACACAGTCTTAATTTACTTAATGTACTTTATATCACATTTATGTAGGTATTTTTAAAATGAATAAATCTGATTCTTTAATACTTTCCTTAACACAAAACTCGTAATAATACAAATACTAATTGCTAATGAAATGATTAAAATTCTAACAAGGTTATTATCAAGATATTTATTTAGCTATAATATGTGTACCAAAATATTTAATAGCTTGCCACCAACCATAAAGACGTCGCCCCCACTAAAATTTAAAAGGAAATTGAAAATATGGCTTTTTGGAAAAAATAATATATTCAGTAACCGAATACCTAAATGAGCGATAATTACAAAAACACCAGATAATATTTTATTGTATGTTGTGTTCTATATTAGAAATAAATCATCGGATTGAAAAATTTGACATTGCAATTATATATTTGACATTATGTAAATTGTTTATTGACATGAGCTTAGTAGTTTGTTATTAAATCAATCTGTTGTTATAATATGCATGTACGTTTAAAATTTTGCATGTCAGAACAGACTGACGAAATATGTGATTCTCTTCTAATAACTATAAACAGCCCATGTACCATATTTCTGCAATTAAAGTATCATTTCATTTCAAGAAATTATACAATCAACAATGACTTGAAATACTTGTTTTACAAATCAATGTAGGTGGGTTATTAACTTACAATATGCTTAATTTTGATTACAACAGTTGTAATTCAATTGTAAGGATATGAATGCAATTAATAAAATGTTGCTACCTTTTCTTGAAATTGTTAAAATGTGACAAGGGCTTAGAAAATACAAAAGGTAATCTGAAATCATTGAATATATTTATTTTATTTCTTTATTGTACACCATGCATTGATATAATACTTACATAGATGAGTAATTACCGCCTAAAATCGTTGCTACTGCACATCTGTCCACAGGCATATGCGTAGCAAACGTCAATTCAGTGTTCAATGTGGCGTCAACCGAGTTGAACATAGCGACACATGACAGTAACAATCGCCAAAATGGGTAAATGCGTAGTGAAAGAATGCGATTCAAGGTCACAAAACCATAATAAATCATGCGGAATTACTTATCACGTGTAAGTTTATGGTTTTTGTATTGATAATATCGTAAATAAGGCTATAATTGAAATAAAACATTGATAATTGTAATTTAGAATCAGTGTTACCATTAAAAAATCATTTTTGTTTTCCCACATTAGTGGGAGAATTTATAATTTATGAAATAATATGCTTTATACTGTTTTTAAACATTTTGACAATAATAATAAAATATAGGAAGAACGGTAGTTGTTAGGGCTGAATCGATCACTTTTTTAGGGAACATCCGTTAAACGTTCACCTTCTGCCAAGCTCGCAGTGCTGGAGACTTTTGTATAAAAGAATTAATTCATTCATTCATTCATTTTTCTTAATTAATTATCAAATATAAATAACAATTGTATAAAAAATATATATATATAAAATAAAAAAGTAAATAAATATAAATAAAAAAATATAAAAAGCAAAAAAAAAATATATTTATATTTTTTATATATTTTTTTTATTTGTATTTTAAAATATTAAAAGAATTTGCAATACACCCTGGGGATTATTTATTATCAGTACAAGTTGATCATTCACTTTTACTATTAAATGCCATTATTTATACATAGGTAAAAATAAGATTGTATCATGAAAGTAAAATATTCACACAAACTTATAAAAAAGAGTCTAAAAGACAATTGTATACAAAACTGATGCTTCATAGCGGAGTTTGCTTTTACACTGAATATAAACCCTTTTAACCAAATATTTCTAGTTATTTTATTATTTATACCTATTCCATTCAATTCGAAATATATTATTTAAAATATTTAAATTAATTTATTTTATTACAAAATTGTTTAAAAAAAAATTGTTTCTTGGTTGTTATGGGTAAAATTTCATACGGTAGTCAACACTGGCCCACCATCGTAAAGTTATGTCTTTGTCTTTGTCTAATCCAAGCGATGGTATTGTTCTTGTCTCGCGTGTAAATGAGACATAAATATGTTTACTTTCAAATGTTTCGTGGTATCAAAGCTACGTCGTCAAAGTTCAAAAGTGGTTACACTTTTTTCGACGTGTGATAATGAGGTTTGCTTCTCTGGTGTTGTTTTAACTCAATGACACCATGGAAGTATTATATATACAGATATTAAATACATTTCGGTATAACAATGGGCGATCTCTTATAGACAACCGTTATACGGATGTTGTCAAAAAAATTAGGGTAGCCTGGGATGTACAAATACAACAAATTTAAAAAATAAATAAAAAATACTAATAAGAAACATAAGGTTACTAATATATATGTCGGGTTAGGTCCAGACATTAGAAGTAAAACTCGTGTACACAAATGCACAAAATTTATTACTATAATCAAATAATCCAAATATCTTAAATCGCAATAAGGATAGTAATCGGGCAGTACTGACTGTCGAGAGACAGTGGTCCGTGCACCGGGACGCAATCGTTCGGAATGCGTGCCGTCGATCTGCTGGTTTTCACAACGTCCCGTAGGGGGCGTGTGATGGCTGGTTCGGGGCTTCGGCCCCCTGCCAGCGATTTCTACCGCTACCCCTGAATAGGGGTAGGTCGTGGGCTTGTGGTTGTGGTGGTCCGTTGCGTTGTGGAGGGGTTACTTCAGTCTTCACGCCGCCCCGGCGGTCAAGCCCGAGCCAGGTGAGACCCCAGGCGATACCTGGGGAGGCCCAGCTCCGGGCGACCAGCGACAGAGGCGGCGACTTACGTGTAACCCCTCTGGTGTCTAGTCCGGGAGTGGCGCCTCGCACCGCTGTGCGGTCTGCGGGGCGTTGTCTTCTTTTTCATTGTTGCGGCGGTCATCGCCGCCCCCGCACGATGTACCTACTTGGGCCAAGTAGGCGCAGGTGCTCGCGGGCCGGGGGTGGCCGCAGCAACACTGTAACAATATAATTTTTTAAATTAAAAAATTATTAAAAAGAGCGTTTCATTTATTTGAGTAGGGCCGCACCGCGGCGCCGCGTTTGGCCGCCCATAGGGGCTTCCTATGCGGCGCCGCGGGGCCCTTTATGGCTTGTTTATGGGACGGTGTCTATACCCGGGAGGGGACCACCGTCTTTGTCGGGATCGTCCGTAAGGAGGTCGCGCGGGAACTTCTTTTTGTCGGGTGGTCGAGCGTGCCAAGGCGCCAAGTCCCGGATGTGTTCCCAGGAGGACGCGTCGGCACGCTCGAACATCGCGACGGTGAGACGGCGTATGTGGGCGTCCAGGCTATCGATCTTGAGGTCCCTCTGGATGACGTCATTTCTCACGTAGCGAGGAGCCTGCGTTACGTCACGCAGTGCCAGCGACTGTTGTGCGCGCAACAGGCGGCGGCTCGACTCGCTCGTGAGGGCGAACCAAGATGGGGCGGCGCGTGCCGTCTCACCAGCGCAGCTCGTTATAAAGGCGGTCGCTTGGGGAGGGGAAACGTCACAATATTTTACCAGTTTGAATCCAAGTCTTTTGAGCCAAATAATCGATGTAAAATCGACTAAATAATATTTCAAATGGTGCGTCCGGTGCACGTTCCACTAGCGCCATCTAGTCGCCGTCTCTCGCAGCCTGACTACAGTATGGCTGCCGTCACGGCCATTCTGATAAATCACTCGTCCTCGAGTGAATTCCTACAAAACAAGAATTTTAATTCACATCATCATCGTTTCATTAACAATCACTGGTCTAGGTATTTCTTTGACATAGAAAATCCCTTCAGTTTGAAGATTCTGGTCTGAATCGACACCCACTAAAGTAGGAGAGATTCCTGCAGTGCAAAGTAGATCATATCCCATAATTCAAACATGCTGGTCTAAATCGCCACCCACTAAAGTAGGTGAGATTTCCGCAGCGCAGAATAGATCATACCCCACAATTCAAACATGCTGGTCTAAATCGTCACCCACTAAAGTAGGTGAGATTCCTGCAGCGCATCACTCATCATCTTCCACAAAAGTAGAAGAGACTACACAAATTGATCATTCCAAAGATTCTATTACAGCTTCGGAATCATCCACGCTTAATGTACGAGAACTACAAGAAAAAGTTTCTTCAGAGTCATTTGCGGTTAAGGTGCGAGAGCTTACCGAAAGTGTCTCTGAATCATCTACAGACAATATAGGGGAGTTTACAGTTACAGTTTCCTCAGAGGTCGTATTACTATTTCCAGGCACAACAGATATATTGAATTCATCATCTGCCATCACGGTTCGTTCATCAGTACTATCACTTTCATCACTATACTCATAAATTTCTAGATAGCCTTCTTGCCCTTTAGGTACTCCCCTTAAATTTTCATGAGCAAATTTATAAATTCTGTTAGAACCGTTAATATGTTTAAGTTCATAACGGTCATTATCTAATACAGTGATTATTTTATAAGGTCCCTTAAACTTCTTGTCTAACTTAGATTGATGCATTTCTTCGCTTTTTACAAAAACAAATTCACCAACTGCAAAAGGTTTAATCCGAGCTTTACCCTTGTTAAACCGTAAAGTGTCAGCGTTAGCTACTCTTTGAATATTTTCTGATGCAGATGAACGAGCCGCTTTGACATTAATTAGAGTTGGTTCAGAAGAACTAGGAGTTATTTTAGCTAGATTAAGCGAGGAACCTTGAATACCAAACATCAGTTGTAAACCCTGTGGTCCTGGAACGTGTACTATTAAGAGCAAGCTGAATCTCGCCTAATTCGTCCTTCCAAGTATTATTAGAATTACTTTCTATAATAGTAAGAATATTCTTTAAAGTTCGCATGACCCTCTCGACCTGCCCGTTAGCTCTACTAGAACCAGTTGCTATTAAATGGAGCTCTATTTTATTATCATTGCAAAAGTTTTTGAATTCACTGCAGTCATAACAACGTCCTCTATCTGCGATAATGCGCTTAGGAGCACCAAATAAATTAACAGCATTTTTAATTGCTCTAACAGCGTGTGAAGAACTTAAAGCCGGAGCATATTCAAGCAATACAAACTTTGTAAAGGCATCTATTAAAACTGAGCAATATTCTTTTCTATCACTTTTTCCTGAAAGTTTTCCTGTTATATCTAAATGAACTGTGTGCCAAGGAACTGGATTTTTAGGAATGGAGTGCAACTGCATTTGCTGGGCACCTGAAGGACCTTTAGAAGTTTTGCATACTACACAACAGTTAATGAACTTTTTTACGAATTTAGCCATATCAGGAAACTAATAAAACTCGTAAAGTTTGTCTAAAGTTTTGTCAAAACCTAAATGTTTTATTTCATTATGAACATGGCTAATGAGGGACCAAATCAAAGAACGGGGCACAATAGGTAACCAACTAGAAACTCCTCTACGCTCTATCTTTCTATACACTGCCAATCAGTGAATACAGTGAATTTTCGTCCATGCAAATAATGACGAAAATGTTCGATTGCTTTTACTACGGCGAGGGTTTCTAACTCATAAGAGTGATAACGCGTCTCTGAATCTATAGTCTTTCTACTATAATATGCTACCACATGAGGGGCATCATTATGTTTTTGGATAAGTATTGCACCATATCCTTCACTACTTGCATCGGTATGGAGTTCAATGGGCAAGATAGGATCAAAAACTTTTAAAACTGGTTCGGATGTTAAGATATGGATTATCCTTTTATGTACTTGGTCATGCTCTGGGGTCCATCTAATATTACCCTTTCCTTTTGTTAAGGGATACAAAGGGCGAATTATTTGGGAAAAGTTAGGAACAAACTGTCTAAAATACGTAGCTAGCCCTATGAGCTACCTAACTTGGGTAACAGTTTTTGGAGTTGGGACATCAACTAAGGCTTGTATTTTTTTTGGATTTGGTCTAATTTCCCCAGCTGAGACTATATACCCAAGGTACTCAGTTGGGATTTTCAGAAACGAGCATTTCTTTAAATTGAACGAGATTCCTGCATTGCACAGTGTTTTAAGTAATTTGTCTAATCGATTAAGCCCCTCATCAATATCTTTTGAAATTAAAAGTATGTCATCCATAAAAACTAAAATCTTTTCGTCGTTCATAGGCTTCAGAGCAGTATTAATAGCCTTTTGAAAAATGGAAGGGGCATTGCGCAACCCAAAAGGCATAGCCAAATATTCAAACTGTCCTTTTGGGGTAACAAATGCAGTTTTTTGTATGGAATCTTCATGAACAGGTAACTGATGAAACCCAGAAGCCATATCAATACTGCTAAAATAATGAGCACCATGAAGTTTATCAATTTGTTCACCAATCAAAGGTTCGCCAATCAGAGGATAATGATTCGGTTGAGTATTACTATTCAACTCCCTATAGTCAACACACATGCGTGTACTGTCGTCCTTCTTCTCTACAAGAATGATAGGGCTAGCAAATGGGGATGAACTCTCTCTAATAATATTTGCCGTTATTAATTGCTTAATTTTTTCATCCACTATGTCAGATTCTTGAGGAGATAATCTATACGGTCTCCTATGCACTATTTTATGAGGATCAATTAAATCGATTTTCAACTGTCCCGTTTTAATTCTAGTTGTAGGAAAATGTTCAATGAAATTGTCCGTGTATTGAGTTAATATGTTAAAAAGCTTTACTCTATCAGTTCCTGTCAGGTCAGTATTAATTGAGTCAATGTCAAATATAGGTTTGGTTTTGGTACACATATTAGATACCTTACACCGCTTGAATATTAAACCGGTCTCCGAAATCTCAACAAGAATATCCCGCTCAAGTATATCTCTACCTAATAAAATAGCGTCGCGCAGACAATCATCTGGAACTACATGAAGCGTGACGCTAATTTCAATACTTTGGATTTTTATGTCACAATTAATTTGCTCCGTGCTACTAACGATACTGTTTCCAATACCAGTCATGTTGATAAGGTCGTGCGATCTTTGTCCATTAACAAGGGGTGAAATATTTTTCCTAATTAAACTACACTCCGAACCAGAATCAAAAATAAAAGGAAATGTCATACCACTACAATCCAGAGCACCTCTAACAATCTTCGAGCACACCTTGACTTCCTTGCTTCCGGTAGCGGCTTGTTCCTTCTTCGTATAGTCAACCCTCTTGGGGCAGGTGGAGACGACGTGGCCCGGTTCCCCGCAGACGTAGCATGTGACTTGATGCCTCTGGTTGACCCGTTTATCCGTAATCATCGATCCATTTGGTTTATTTCGTTCACGACAATCAGCTGCTCGATGCCCAGGCTTGTCACATACGTGGCAATTGCCACGAAAGGGAAACGTAGCACGAGAGCGTTTGACATCGGAATCGTTTGGCTCGGAAAATTCCGATTTTCTTTTCAAGGAGATACCTCGTAGTACTCGAAATAGCTGGGATTTGTCATTTACCACAGTGGAGTTTAATTCACGACGTATTTGAACATCACACTGTGATAAAACGGAAACGGCAAAGCCCGTCACAACCTTTTCAGGTAAATTCGTGTCTGGGATATTTTCGATCAGTTGCCAAAGACGTAAACATGACTGAGCGGGGGTTTCATTAGCAGTTATTTGAAATTTGAGGATACTGTCAAAGTGATCCTGAATAAGCATAGGACGAGAGAACTGAGCTTTCAAAGTCTCTTGAATATCTTCCCATCGATATTGACTGGGAGGCATTTTGGTCAATAATGTAGCTGCGCGGCCTCGCAGACCATGGGTCAGCGTTATGATCAGATCCAGACCTTTAAGATTTTTGCCCTTAATTATGGCGTCCGTCAATCTGCACCAGCCCTCTATATCTGAATTTAGGTCGTCGGGGTCAAATGGTACCAAAACTGTGAAAGGGTGTGACGGTGCATTGGACCGGGGTAGCAGGGCATCAGTTAATTTTGAAAGAATCGTTTCTAAACTATGCGAGGGTAGCGAACTATTCTCCTGCATATTTTGTGCTGACGAAGTGCCAGAGGTGGGCGGACAATCGTATCCCACTTCTGATGTCGGGTTAGGTCCAGACATTAGAAGTAAAACTCGTTTACACAAATGCACAAAAGGACATGGCCAGTTTCTGCCTAGTTTTTTGGTAGCATGTACATTAATAACAGCCTTATGATAAGAAAATAAAAAGAAATATATAAATTATGGCATCCTTCATATTTCTGTCTAACTTCCGAGTGTTAACACAAGATTAAAGAGTTTTTTTTTTTATTTCCTATACATTCAGGTTCTGCGCCATTTTGAGAAAACGTGTTTCCAGTAAAAGTAATGTTTACGTATAAAACCAGCGTAAATATGTAAAAATAATTACGTTGGTTCAAAATAGTACTAAAGATTAAAAATCAATATAGTAATGATATTTATGTACATATATAAAAATATTATAAATGATTGTTATTAATTCATAATAATTATACTTCTTTGTGATTTGCTAAACAAAACGTAATGCTATGTTATCATGACAGCGGATCTGTCACTATATTTTAGAATTTTGGCATTTTGCTCACGTTGTATTATTTATACAAAAGTACCTACCTACTTTGTGTATTATTTACGCTTGCGTTTTTGTGTGAATAGTGCGATTTTCAACGTTTACTGACATCAGACCAATATTACTCCACCAGCATCATTTTTAGATAATATTTTAGTTCGAATGATTGAATATTAAATGTCATAATAAAACATTTTATATAAAAACTATATTTTTTTATTTCACCCATTACCAATCCATTAGGCATCCACTCAGTCCTTCAGCGCACCTTAATCTAAAATCTGAACTTAAAATAATCTTGAAGTATTTAATAATTATATTTCTTAGTTATCGCATCCTCGTTAAAAAATACTTTTTCAGGATAAACTTAAGCATGTTTTACCGACTGGAAACCGAACTAGGGCCACTTAATTCAAACGCACTTACTACCACGGTCGTCATTAAAAATAATATCGTATTTATTTTTATTATGTATCCATTTAATACCTTTTCAGTGCTCCGAACGCCTGTAGTTTTTATGAAAGCAAAACAGTTTCTATGAACTCATTGCTTTTAAGTTTAAGAAGGATTAAAACATGACATCCTTTTATGTAAATATCTAAAAAATCTGAAGTACATGGAATATGTAACATATACATTATATTTTTTAGGACAAATTTAATTCCAAAAAGCAAAATTTCGTTAATGTACATGAACTTTTACAAGCTAGGCAGAGGGCCTTGTATAAATTGGCCATGTCCTTTATTACTATAATCAAATAATCCATATATCTTAAATCGCAATAAGGATAGTAATCGGGCAGTACTGACTGTAGAGAGACAGTGGTCCGTGCACCGGGACGCAATCGTTCGGAATGCGTGCCGTCTCAACAGCGCAGCTCGTTATAAAGGCGGTCGCTTGGGGAGGGGAAACGTCACAATATTTTACCAGTTTGAATCCAAGTCTTTTGAGCCAAATAATCGATGTAAAATCGACTAAATAATATTTCAAATGGTGCGTCCGGTGCACGTTCCACTAGCGCCATCTAGTCGCCGTCTCTCGCAGCCTGACTACAGTATGGCTGCCGTCATATACGATTACAGTATGTTATATATACAACTAATAAATTTAAATACATACAACATATATAAATACATACAGGCAGAGTTACATAAATACACAAATTCCTCTATGATACCAAGTAATGATTAGTGACTAGCTTTTTAAATGTTTGCAGTGATTTGGCTTGCCTAATTGCTTCCGGTAGATTATTATCGATTATATTCAAGATAACATATATCAGCTCGCTCCATCAAAAAAAATTGATTTAATACTTTTACAGTGCCGTGTGACTATTAACTTGTTGCAATTACTTGGCATAATACAATTACCAACAACTGTCAATGGTAAATTTTGGTGGTTGCATGGGTGCTCTTAGGGGGAAAGGATTGCGATGCTTTCTTTGTAATCAATAGTATGATTTATTATGTGCAAATATACCTGATAAAAAGTTTAAATTAATGAACGCTGATGCAAAACTAGCGTGGAAAAAGCGCCCAGGCTGTGTTAGCAAACAACCGAAACTAGACAACAGCGATACGCCTGTTCGACCCAGCAAACAACATAGTCCTAACGCTTATGATCAGTCCCCTTCTGGTGATAAGGCTAATGTAACTCTTCGCCCTAAAACGCCTCAACTACGGTCCTCTAATACCGATGAGAATAACACACTATTGACTAAGACAGAATTGATAAGAGCAGAAATTGGCCACGCTATACAGAATACAATAAGGGATTTGGTTGATGAGCAGTACAAAAGAATCAACGATTTAGTATCAGATTTCAAGCTCTCACTAGCCTTTTTTGGCGAAAAATACGATGAAATAAATAGTCATCTTGAGGAGAAATCCGTTAAACTTCTCAAACTTGAGAAAGATAATTTTAGTTTGCAAAAATCCCTTAACGACCTTACTAACCGTATCAACAAAATGGAGCAGCACGCCAGATCAAGCAACATTGAGCGTCTGCAGTTGATCAAGGTTTTCAGGTTGATACAACATATGCCGACTTTTCGAGGGCCTTTGATAGGGTTAACCATAAAATTTTATTATTCAAACATTCACTTCATTCGTGCTCTCGGTGTTACTAAATCAACTCTCCGCTGGTGTAGCTCCTATCTCAACAACAGGCCATCCTCAGTTGCCGTTGATGGCAGCCAGTCAGCCATATTTTGCTACATCCGATATACCACAGGGTTCCAATTTGGGACCCCTATTTTTTAATATATTCATCAATGATATATCGCAAGTGTTCATACATTCAACACCGTATCTTTTCGCAGATGACTTAAAATTGACCCGTATAATTTTGAAAGAATCAGATGTAAGTTTACTTTAGGCTGACCTTGATAATTTAAATAAATGGTGTCTCAATAACAAAATGAATTTAAACTGTTCCAAATGTTACCACATTAAATTCACCAGAAAACGCAACAAAATCCCATATCAGTACAACATTCGAGGAGACAAATTAAAACAAGTAACCACTATCAGAGACTTAGGAATACATTTGGATAGTCAACTTAACTTTATACATCATTATGATACGATAACTAACTCAGCATATTGAGCCTTGGGTTTTATACTACGTTCCTCGAAAGAATTTAAAAAGCCATCTACCATGATCATTTCATACAATAGCTATGTACGAAGTCATTTCGAATATTGCAGCACGGTATGGAACCCAATGTACCAAGTTGACATCAATAAAATAGAACAAATCCAAAAGAGACTAGTGTCGGACTAGTCTCTTTTGGCTACCGTTAGTCGTCTAGCTTACCGTTTTGGGGTTAGGAACTTAAGGACTTATGAGGATAAACTAACGCACTTCAACCTTATATCTCTTAGGGACCGTCGTACTATCTTTGATCTAGTATTCTTATACAAACTGTTCCATAACTACATTGACTGTCCAGACCTCCTCAGTAAGGTCGGTATAGGTATTCGAACTAGAATCCCACGCTACCCTCGCCCGCTATGTAAGGTCCCACGAGCCCGGACGAATTTAGGGAAGCAAGCACCAATTGCTAGGATGACTCGCGAATATGACACCATTTCAGTTGCTTCGGAGGACATAGACATCTTTTCTAATAGTCTGGGTACATTTAAAAAAAATGTTCGCACTCATATATTGAACACTGTGTGATTGTTGACGTACCTCCTTACCATTTAAATTTTGAATTTTAACTGCTACTGATTTACAATTTTTTGCACAATTGATTGTTATAGATAGTTCAACTCAGTTGTGCGTGGGCTTGTAAATATACAACTTTCATTCGTGTGGCAGTCGTCGTCCGACTGCCGCGTCACTGCTTACCTGCGCCTCATGCCGCCCTGAGTGTGGCCGCGGGTGGACGGGATGGGTTATCCCCTCCACCCGCATTAGTTTGGCCAGCCGCGAGGGGGCGGCGTCCGCGTGTGCCGGACGTCGCCTAAAGAGAGGATAACTGGAGACGGAGCCCGCACCAGAAGCGGGCTGGCGCTGGGAGGGGTCCAGAAGGAGATAACTACCTGGACCCCCCCCAAAATAGAAGCGCAAAGAGGGCACACCGTGTGGTTTTAATCGGTTCGAGTCCGACACACGCCCCGCCGAATAAAGAACCCCGGCGGGCTGACGGTCCGAGTGGATTTCCACACGTAAAAAAAAAAAGATAGGCATGGCTTTAGCCAAGATTCCGATATAAGGATGGAGTGTATGTTCGTACAGTTTAAGCTAGTTAGCATATCACTGAAGTGTGCCGAAATGCTTTGCGCATTTATGTAACCGACATTGAAGTTCCTGGGTACATCAGAAAACTGAGCCGAGATTGTATCCGCTAGTGAAGGAATACTTATGTAACTGGCGTCACCACTAGATACCGAGAAATAATCGTCAGTGTCGCTGTCATCGGTAGATGAAGTTATTGATGGCATAGAGAATATAAAAATATATCTCCTGTATCGTATAACTGAAGAATAAATGTATACTATAAGGTCTAGTGTAAATTAAATAGCAATATAAAAACGTAAATATTAAAATATAAATGTAGAATAAATATGAGATATTTAAAAATCTGTTATAAGACTCCTCTAATCGTTTATCCGTCTGCCGGTTGTATGTCACAAAAGTAAATAAAAACAAAAATCAAAGAAAAACACAAAATAACAGTATTAACTAGAATGCATAAACAGCTCATTCAAGGAATTGTATTTGAGACCGCTTTCCATGGATAGCCAAATCGAACATAATGTCAATTATTTAATTCTTATAATTTTTTATAAACTACTTGATTGGCCAGTACTCAAACCACAATATATTGGACTCGGAGAAGAACTTACAGTGAGATGGAACGCAATATATGGTTATGTTGTGACAGCTTACCAATGACATATGACAAAAATTTCTTGAGTTATTGAGTGATATTATATACATAAAAAAAAATAAAAAATGTAAAAAAGGGTATTCTAATTCTAAAGTTAATGTATCGCCAGGACCCATGACATAGACATTGCCT